CTGAAAGTATAGATTCTGTCTGGAATCTGAGAGGAATCCTGAACACCTCATGGCATCGGGTTCAAGTCCGAGTTGGTCAAGCAAATCTTTAGGCTGTGTTTCATGTGTTGAGCAGATGACAGTATTCAGCATCACAGGCCATGGTTGTTTGTATCTTCCTAGCTTAAAATGAAAAAACATGGTTGTTTGTATCTTCCTAGCTTAAAATGAAGATGACATGGTTGTTTGTATCTTCTTAGCTTAAAATGAAAATAGCATGGTTGTTTGTATCTTCCTAGCTTAAAATGAAAATAAAATGTTTTCTTGATGTTGTCTCAAAATACTAATGGAAATAATAATAATAATAATAATAATTTGGAAGTGATTGCATCTTGACAATCAATTGTGCTAGTTTCTTCCCCAGTATCTATTTTTCTATATTCCTTTGTAGTTTGATCTGGATAAGCTCCCAATTATTTGTTGAGTTTTGGGATGACGGAACTACTGATGTGAAAGCAAGAGAGGTTCCAATCACAGCTGGTTAGAATGTTAGGAAACTGGTTAGTAGGTTCTGCTTTACTTTGCAATTGATTTGGTCTCTTATTATGTCCTCTTCCCCAAAACTTGTTTGGGACAGTGGCGTAGTTATAGTATTATGTCTTCCTCGCCAGCTGATGATTGTATCTTCTTGCCGCCTCAACCAGCATGTGGAACGGTGGAAGTCTATTCTTTTGCCACAGGTAGCTTGTTTTTCTTCATTTTGAGCATGTGCTTGTATATTGTAGTTATGAATAGGTTGTGCAATAGAGACACAGAATGAGGTTCAAGATTCGTGTTTGTGTTATTTAACGAAAGTAGATGTAGTGCCCTCCAAAAAGAACGAAAGTAGATGTAGTGCCCTCTAAAAAGAACGAAAGTGAAGTGGGATGGTATGGGATGAAATGAGATGAGGAGTTTGAGGTGCATTCATACGTATATGTAGACAGGTGAGGTGGAGAATGATCACATTCGAAAAAGAGGTTCAAAGAAAGGATTTGGGGAAAGAGAGGCGAACGTCAAAATCAATTTGCATTAGAATAGTCTACGAGACAAAATAAACAAAGCACAAGTCGAATTCTTATAAAACAATTATAACTCTCTGACTAGGACCAACTCAGACTAACAAATAAGATCTTATATCCAACTAAATAAAAGATAAGATTCCTCTAATAGTAATATAATACTTTATTGTCAACTGAAAGATTAAAAGGCATTATTGTTAAACAAAAGATAAAGATGAAGATAAATTCAAACCTAACAATTTATTTTCTCATACTACTAAATATTTTTTTTTATACGTTTCCTAAGATGCATCGGATGGTTTGATCTCTTCTTACCTGGAATTCTATTCATGAATTGTATGAGAGTTATGATTCGTAGTTAAGTTGGAAGTATATACAACACGAATAATCGAAAAGTTGAAAGAAGCGTTCTCTTTCTTGGAATCAAAGCAAATTTAGTATTTCCTCCATTTCATATTAATTGAATTGTTGAAACATTTTTCATTGTTCAAATTAACTTAATTGTTCAATTTTTAAGACTACTTTTAGAATGTTTTTCCAATTTTACCCTTCATTAGTTAGTATTGAAATTAGTTATTAATTAATGTTTAGTTATTTTAATCATAATTTTGATAATAGTTAATAAGGGTAAAAATGGAAAGTTAAGCCTAATTTATGTCTTAATTTTTTTCTTAAAGGGTGTGAAATACCTCAACAATTTAATTAATATGAAATGGAGGGAGTATAAGCCATGGAAGTAAATGTTTCATACATACTCAAGTCACACAGTGCTAACACATGAGTTTTGATTATTGATTATGAGAGTGCACAATTAAACAATAGGTCAAATCCATCAGTGGCCTCCTAAAATTGGCAATAATTTTCACTTAGATACTTTAACTAGGCCTTGTTCATTTTAGACATCTCATTGTGTCATTTTGACACTTTTTTCACTAGCACATGTTGACTTCAAGTGTGTGTTAACCAAGTGCATCCACATGGATTAGATGCCCAATTATATCATGCCAACTCATTAAAAGTCTATCATATTACATCATTTTTATTATTTTTGAGCCTTATTTTTTGTATCATAAACCCACACCCACACAATCTACTCTATCATATTTCTTCATTTTCATTATCTTTTCCGTCACACCCACAACCACACAGCCATTTTCCTTGTTTTATTCCTCTTTTTCATGATTTTTTTCTGCCATATTCCCCATTCATAGCACCCTCCCTCCCATTTCTTCATTTGGTTTAGGGCTAAAAGGTGCAAATGTATAACAACAATGGTTCATATTTTTAAGATTGCGTCTCTTTTTCTTTAATTTTGTGATATTTGTAGTTTAATTAGGGCTCAAGGTTAGTGAGATTAACATTTACATAGTAAAAATTGAGATTTTCTTGCTCCTATTTTAGGATTATTGTGGGTGAACTTTACATGATTTGGGGTGTTGTTGATATGAGTTCGATTTCTTGTTTCTTTTTGGGTCTATTTGAGTTTGTAGTGCGAAATTTAAATTGAAATTATTATAACAAAAGATTTAACCTCCATTGAAGTACTTTAAGCTTTGAGAAATAATGGAAGAGATAGTGACTATAAAATGGGAAAGAAGAAGAGAAAAAATAAAATAAAATAGACTAAATAAGTCCCTCACACGTCAATAGCGAGTGTATAACACTCACTTTGTCATGTCAGTAGAAAGTGCCAAAATGACACAACGAAACCTGACATAAGGTGTCTAAAATGAACAAAATCTAATTAAAGTATCTAAGTGAAAATTACTGTCAACTTTAGGGGGTCACCGATGGGTTAGACCCTATCTATACTATACATATATAAAAAATAAAACGGTCCGATCTCTGGTTCTGGTTAGAGTGTTACCTATATCCGGCGACTAGCTCATGGGAAGTCGAAAATGTTAGAAAGTGATGAGAAATATTTTTTGAGTAGTAATAGAAGCGGAATGATTTGATTCGTAGTTATTGAAAATCTCGACAGCAACAAGATGATGTTGAGTCCGACATCACTGTTGCACTCGTTTTGTCTTTCTCTATTTCACATGTCTATTCAAGGATAAGGTAATAGCCTCAAAAGCTGTTTGTCAGTATCTCCCTAACCGCTGGATTGGAATGAATGTTAATCTTATCTTCATTTAATACTTCATCGTTACATACTACTTTTGGCTTAACTCTCTGTGTGGAAGTGGGGTAGTGATGATGCCATAACAGGCATGCAGTGGGTAGTAGCCTGTATCACTTCATGAGTCATGACAAATGTCAAAGTTGTGGAGCATTAGTCTCTATCTATCAAGTACAAAACCAAATAAATGTCAAAGTTGTGGAGCATAAGTTAATCTCTTAAGTAATGGTATCTCCCTTGGCGATTTGTCAGCTACCAACAAAATAATTACTTTTGTACTTAATGAGTGTCAACTCAAAACACCACATTGAACAACGTAACAAATTGTCACGGATTCAAAATTAGTTGATATTCTCCGTTCAAAATTAACAGCTCAAAAAAATATCACCTTTAAGATGCAAGATTAAGATTGGCACTTAGCTAGCGTTGTTTAGCCGTAGATTTCCAAATATTTTTGGTAAATATTATTTGGGTGAAAATTTCACCATATGTTTGGCCATAATATTTGGGAAACATATTTCACCTTTTTAGAAAAAATATGATTTATACCCATAAGGTTTAAAAACTATCAAAACTAACCATAAATTTGTATTACAAATCAATTGGGTCTTCGTTGCAACAAATAACAAATAGTGTCCATGACACTGGAGCAATGTGGTAGTTTGGAGTGAATTCAACAAGCATCATTTCATACATCGTGAAGTAGACAAAGCACATGACTTTATTACCCTGAGCCGATTCTTCATCATTTTCATCAACAACCATATCATCACTTTCATATTCACTGAATATTTCATCACTACTTTGGTGTTCACGTAAAAATTATGTAATACAGCGCAAACAATTACTATAGATGGTGTTTTTGTAAAAGATAAAAAAATTGGTGTAAAATTTGAATTTTTAAAAGACCTCAAATAATGAGATTTGGCTCAAATACTAGTTTTTTCTAGTATTTGGGAATTTGGGTTGTTTGCCAAATTTGTTAAATAATGACAAATTGTATAGACAAACACTATTTGCCAAAGTTTTTCCTAAATTTTACTTGGGAAATCTATGATCAAACGGGTCCTTAGTTTTCAATTATATTCTCAATATTAAAGAATATTTATTATTTTCTTAATGAGTTTGAATAAAGTTAAAATTGAACAGATAAAATACTACTACTACTTATTAATTATGGTTGAGTGTGCGGAATACTTTAGGATTACTTAGTGTGAAGGATTTGAGTTTTGAGGGCCGGAATTAGAATATGGTTTATAAGAGGAGAGTAATGTAGAAATTAGTAGTACTTAATTATTCTTTTTGTACTTAATTATTCTATTTTGATTGCCATCCAAACAAAGAAAATCCCTCGACATTCCAGTTTCCCTTCCTTTTAATTCCTTCCCTCCACAAAGAAGATAGTATCAATTTGGACATAAAATATAGATTATAGGTGTTCCAGAAGATGCTATTTCGTTGCCTTCTTCTTTATTAAACTCAGAAAATACAAAGTAAGAAAATGCGGTAATAAAGAAAAGATATATTCTCTCTAATCAACTATTGACTTCATGAAAATGCATGATCAGAATACAATTCATAGTTTACTAGAGTAGTAAAAACCGCCATCATAATGGACAAATCATATATTCCGAGTCTACACAGTTACAATATATATATATAATGCTTTAAAGAAAAGCATACAAGTGAAAACTTGGAACCACATACTCGTCTTTCTAATATTCCAAAAAGACAGATCAATCACAGCTATTGATTTTTATTTATACATGTGTCAATAAACATATTATATATAGACCGATCTAGTTTCTTTATTACCTATATATGTACACATCTACGTCCACACTTGATCTCTTTGTTTAAAATAATAAAATATATTGGTCATGGTCATGGTCACCTTCCTCTCCATCTTCACCACATACCCCTTCTTCATTCTTCCATTCTTTTGTCTAACACTAATTCTATATCTAACGTATGTCATTGTTGAACAATTCCAGCAAGGTGCTAGAGGCTTTGAAGGACCGCCAACTTACCCCATCATAGGTTGCTTGATTCCATTTTACAAGAACCGCTATCGTCTACTAGATTGGTACACTCATCTTCTCTCTCACTCACCAACAAAAACAATCGTGATAGACAGATTAGGTGCGCGGAGGACCATAGTAACAGCTAATCCACACAATGTAGAGTACATGCTCAAAACCAACTTTGACAACTTTCCTAAAGGTAAGCCGTTCAATGAAATTCTTGGTGATTTTCTTGGAAATGGTATATTCAATGTGGATGGAGAAATGTGGTACAAACAGCGCAAGATGGTTAGCCATGAGTTCACCGCAAGGTGTTTGAGAGATTACGTTGTGAATGCCCTCAAAGAAGAGGTGGAGAACAAGTTGTTGCCTATGTTAGACTTAATGGAGGCTGAAAATAGAGCTTTTGACTTGCAAGACTTGTTAAGAAGACTTGGATTTGATGTGGTTTGCAAAGTTTCCTTGGGGTTTGATCCATGTTGCCTCAATCATTCTCTTCCATTTTCGCCTCTGCTACATGCCTTTGAAAGGGCTTCACAAATATGTGCTGGTAGAGGGGCTGCTCCTATATCTGCCATATGGAAGGTGAAAAGATGGTTAAATATTGGATCTGAAAGACAGCTGAGACTAGCCATTGATCAAATCCATTCATCAGTCGCTGATATCATCCGCGAGAGAAAGATTAAGATCAGAGGAGAAAACCAGCAAGAGATCAGTAAAGATCTTCTTTCAAAACTGATATTGGCAGAAAATTTTGATGAGGAGGAAGTCAGGGACATGGTGATAAGCTTCATTATAGCAGGAAGAGACACAATATCTGCGGCAATGACTTGGTTGTTTTATCTACTTACTCTCCATCCTGAGATAGAAAATGAATTGGTTTCCAAGGAGCTAAGGTTTATAGAAGCTGAAACACTAACAAAGCATGAGACATTGAGAGAGATGAAATTCTTGAAAGCTTGCCTCTGTGAGACAATGAGACTCTATCCACCAGTTGCATGGGATTCAAAGCATGCAATTGCTGATGATATTTTGCCAGATGGTACTCGTATCAAAGCTGGCAATAGAGTGACCTACTTCCCCTATGGTATGGGGAGGATGGAAAACTTGTGGGGGAAGGACATGTTAGAGTTTAAACCAGAGAGATGGATGCAGAATTCAGAAGAAGATGAAGGAGGGGTAGCAGAGCAGGCATCAAATTTGTACAAGTTTCCAGTCTTCCAAGCAGGTCCAAGAGTTTGCCTTGGGAAAGAATTGGCCTTTATTCAAATGAAGTATGTTGTATCTTCAATATTGAAGCGCTTCCAAATCAGACCAGCTTGTTCAGATCCTCCTGTGTTTTTGCCACTCCTAACAGCTCATATGGCTGGTGGTTTTAAGATTTTTGTCCATAAAACTAAAAACGTTAATTTAGATGATCCCTAAGTCCGAGTTCTCCTTCCAACAGCTGCCACCATTATCTCAAAAAGAATTGATTTCATTTTCTACCTTTAATTCCTGAGAATATTTATTGGTTTTACCGATCGATCAATAGAGAAGCTACTGGTTCACATCCTCAAGGATGGAGGAGTATTTCAACTTTGTTTAAAGGTTTTAATAGCCAAGACAATTCTACCATCCTCTTATTTATTTATTTCCCCTGTAATCTTTTCTCTACACTTGGACTGGAAACAAGAAGCTTGTGAGAAAAGAATTAACTAGTAGAGAAGAAAGAAAACGAAATCCTTCAAGAGAAATTTGTTTTATAAGATAAAAGTGGTCTGTGGCATATTTCCTGTTCATATTTCTACTCTTCAATCCCTTATTGAAACATATGTTATCCGAGTAATCAAATAAATAATGGGTATTGGTAAGATTACAATACCAAAAAGAAGTAAGGTACAGATCTCTAACTTTGGCACCAATTGGAAGGAAAGGAAAAATATTGAATAAGAAATATAGATATATTAGTCTATAAGGTTTAAGTACCAACTAGGTGAGAGTTGAAAATCAATCTGATTTCCATTCTACCTAAGTTGTTAGATAAATTTGTTTCTATGCTTTAGAATATTATACTCTTATATATTACAGCTTGCATGTTTTTCTTTTTTAATTACTGTATTCTTATCAAGTTGGAAGACACATGCGTTATCTTCACGCTATAAAATTATTTTCAAGATATACATAGGCAACTAACTATTTGTTATTAAATTGCAACCAAGTCAGATGCCATAAACAGTAGTATATATTTTTGTTGCGTTGGTGCAAGAAGTGCTAAGTAGACGCAATTCTTTATCACCTTATTTAAACTGAATAGAACTTGTTTAATCCAGATCTGCAGCCTGCAGGGGATCTCGAAGCAGATTCCTGGCGGGCAGGAAGGAGCATAACTACATATTTATTCAAATGTACTGAATTTTACAAATATGATCATTCCACACTGATAGTTTTTTCTTCTTTTTTTTTAACTAAGGATTTTCCCACTGGAAATCATTTTTATCACAAAAAGTCATTCAACTTTCTCTTATAACTTCAATGTCATAAACTATGATTATTTTATCTCAAAGTCATTCAACTATAATTATTTTACTTAAAAAGTTACCCACCAATTTAAATATTTTTTTTATTAAATTTTATTGAAATACAATTTTTATTTTAAATTACTTTTATTAAAAAATAATAAGATACTCATTTTAATTATTTTATTAAACTTTATTAAAACACATTTTTTTAAAACTAATTTCTTAAAATATAATACAATACTCATTTTAATTATTTTATTAAAATATAATCTTATTATTTTCTTCAATAACGTAGATCTCGAAGAAAATGCTCCTGACACCTGTCATCTGGTGTTGTTCATCATGTATTCCTAAGATACTTAGAACAATTTTTTTGAAGAACTTGATAAGAAACAACAAAGTTTAAAGAGTATTCCCAAAACTAGAAAATTAAAACCAGTAGAGAAAATAGAATCTGAAACAGATTAGAAACAATATACAAAATATTTTTTCAAAGAAGAAAATCGAGCCCACTGAATGTATAGTGTCCCTTTAAAGAAATTATTCCCTCAAGTACCCGAGGTTAATGGAATATATCCTCTCATGATAGAACAATCTTACTCACCAATGTATTGGCACCTATAACCATGGTGTCAACGAACTTCACTAAAATTTAATAAATAATTAAATGAGCATCTTATTATTATTTTTAAAAATTGTGTTCCAACAAAATTTATAAAATATTTAAATGAGCATTTTATTACTTATTTAAAATAGAAGAAATTTTAGGTTTAGCAAACATAAAAATCATATTTGTATGCGATATAGCTATAGTTGGTATAATTATGCTCCATAGCAAACATCAAACTTTATGTTTGCTATGGAGTATTAGATTTGTATAAATCGTTGGCAGTCTCTCATTTTTATAAATCGTTGACAGCCTCTCGTTTGTATAAATCGCTGACAGCCTCTCAATTCAATTGTATATATGCAACTATTATGTATATGTACTTATGATTTGTTTGTATATCTGCATAAAATTTGAATTTGTATACAATTGAATCGAAATAAAACATTTGTTTATCAAATCTCTCTCTCTCTCGCTTTATGTATAATTTGTGTTTGTATAAAGCGAGGAAGAGAGAAAATGTGAAGGAGAAGATCTGTATTTGTATAATTATACGTGTATAGGACGAAAATATATGTATTTAAAAAAACTGATAGATTTTAGGAGAAGCTGAAAGAAACTGGGAGAGAAAAGATAGCGAAGAGATTTGTATAAAAATAAATCTTCTATTGTTTGAAATGCATGGGCCCCACTCTACCAATTAAAATAAAACTGATTTGGGGAGAGATTTTAGGAGAAATTGAAAGAAAATGGGAGAGAAAAAATAGTGAAGGAATTTGTATAACATAAATCTTCCATTTTTTCCAAATTCGTGGGTCCCAATTGAATGGCAAAAATGGTGTAACATTAGCTGCGAAATACAAATATATGAAACTAGGGATGTACAAAATCGAACCGAAAATCAAATCAAACCGCAAATCGAGTCAAACCGGAAAAAAAACCCGACTATACTTGGGTTGGTTTGGTTTTAACTTTAAAAAATCAACCCGAGACCAAGCCAACCCGACATTATATATATAATTTTTAAAATTTATTTTATACATAAAAGCATTTACTTTGATGTAATTTCTTAATATTACTTATACGTTTTCATAATTTTTATATTTTAATTTTTTGAAGTTTTTTGAGACTTAAAATTTTGAATGATCCAATAAAGGTTATAGTCCATAGATATTAGTAACTCTAATAAAGTTCAATTCGAAATCAAATCAATATTGTGCTAACAAAATAAATTAATTCAACACTAAGAATGACAATAATGTTGAATATTTGTTCTTTAGTTTTACATTGGTTTAGACATTTAAAATACATAATCTAATTTTAATTTTCCTTAATGTTTAATCATGTAACTAATACTTATTAGACTTATTTTAGCATGATTTATTACTTTTAAATTATGATCATTTTCATTATGATTTTGCAATATTTATTTTATATGATGATTTCATTATTATTTTTTATTGAATATTTTAATGCCACCACTCATCTCATATTTTGTGTTATTTTCTTAAGAAACACCTTAGATAGTTGTATTTTGATTGGACTAAAGAAATATTTGGAACACAAGTTAATTATCTGTTTGTATGCATACTTTACCGGAAAAATCCAAAAACCTAAAAAAATTCGACACAATGATTTGGTTTGGTATTTGTAAAACCCGAACCAACTCGAGGTTGAAAACACAAAAAAACCCGAGTTTTATTAGTTTGGTTTGATTTATAAATTTAAAATTTTTACACAAATAGTTTGGTTTGGCTTGATTTTTGAAAAACCCGAACCAATCCGGTCATGTACACCCCTATATGAAACAATAGATATAGGATTTATTTTGATTTAAATGTTTGCTATTATGTACAATTTTCCCTTAACAATTTATTTAAATTGATTAGATGACTTTCTAAATAAAATATTAATAGTTGAGTAATTTTGTAGAGTAAAATATTTTTAGTTGAGAGACTTGAATTCATTTATAGGAGAAAGTTAGCGATTTACTGCAGAAAAATACCAAGTGACGAGAAAAATTCTTAACTACATGACTTTATGTGGGAAGAGAACTACTCGGGATTATTTTTTTGTTAGAACGATTTCAAGCCATAATGGCGAACAAAATGCCCATACCACGGCCAATATTATTCAAGTGGGGTATGCACTCATGCTTGTAATGAACGAATTTAATATATAAATCTCCGTTCTAAAACCCAAAAAAAAAAAAAACCAACTCCACGGGGCATGATGCCCTATTAACTTATGCTGATATCACTTTTATTTATGACTTTTATTTCCTTCTCCCGCCCCTCGACAAAACACACAGGATGCTGCACAAAAAAACTCAATTTTCAGTTGAAGTGATTTTAAATTTGCAACGATTGAAGAGAAATATGTATTGCTCGTGCAAACAATTTTTTTGTTCTTTCCAGAGGATTCAAGTTTAAAAAAAAAAGGTTAAATGTTTTCTCTTTAACAAAGTCCCAGTAGGTTAACAACTATTTTGACAATGATTTAGCTATTGGAAAACAGAAACTGAACAATTGACATCAACTATGCTGCAAAATACCTAAATTGTCTTAGCATATGGAAGATTCTTCTTGATCTGGATGGGTCATTTAGGTAGCAGACGAATTTACATATCCCTCGTGTTGCTGAACATGAAATGAGAATCCATGGATCATCTGCTAGTACTCTCGCAAGGAATGTAAAAGTCATGCAACTTACATTATTTTCTCTGATGTAATCATTCCTCTGGCTCTTAAAGTGCTAAGCTTCCAAACTGTTTGTTCCAGTCCTCGTATGCACCAAGTTCATTCAAAGACACAGAAGGCCTTACCTCTTGTAATGCACTCTCAAAGTCCTGTGCAAAACAACATATTGAAAATGCTGTGATGAGAAAATTACGGACTAGTATGCAACCGAGTTAGTTCTTTCTTTTATTTCCTTAACAGCATCTAACTTTTGCTCTTTTTGCGTGCCTGCAAATTACCTGAAGAGTTACTGGCCTCATATCCTCCTTCTTTAGCTTTGTAATTTCAATACCGTGCCTTAGAGCTTCCCTCAATGGACCCATGGAAGCATCCTTCACTAAATTCTTCATGTCAGACCCAGAATACCCTGAAAATTTAAGCAAAACATGATAAATAAGAAATTCATAAATAAAAGGAAGAAAGAGAAATAGGAACGATGGACAGAACTACGGCCTCATCAGATGGGTCTTAATGTTTTTGAATGTTAGCAACATGAGTTGCGAATACCTTCCGTAAATTTGCAAATGGAGACAATATCGTCATCTGAAAGCTTAAACAACCCATCCTTCTCCAATAGACTCTTGGCAATCCAAGCTCGTGCTTCTGTATTCCAAGATATATGGTCAACAATACTGGTCACAGTATTCCATTCCTGATTTTTAAAAATGAGGCTCTAGCTTGCACCTGAGGAAGGAAGTGGAACATAAAGTCTTTTAGTAAGCCGTCTCCTTGCAGCCTCATCAAGCTCTTGGGGCCTGTTTGTTGCACCTGTTTCCATGAATAATACCATCAAATTTTCTTCTGCTAGTAACTAAATTAATATTTTTCTGTAGTAACAAGGAAACTGGCAGATTTAAATTTCTCATTTGATTGCCCAGTATATAAACTACACCTCATGGATTCATCCACAACGCACACCTCTTGGGAAAACAAAGAAACTTTTGACTGGCATAGGTTTGTGATTGGAATGTTACGTGGTTTTTTAAATGGGAATCTGCTT